GCGAGTTGCGCATACACAGCTCCCCGGTTACGTACTTCGTTATTGTCACACGAAAGTGCGGATTGTTATTGAAGGTTCAGCTGTTTGGGCTGGTGATGATTGGGTTAAGGCAAGAACTTTTCTAGCTGACCTTTATAGCTCGAACGACACGATTCCTGTAAACTCACCCAACCGACTTCGGCAGTGGAGTTTGAAGCACGGTGAATCAGGGATAATGCTCTCTCGAAGAGACGTGGATAAGTATTACAGAGAATTCACGGCGCTTTCTTCAGGCCTTGCTCCTTCACGCATGCTAGAAACTGAAGTGTCTCTTTGTTTTTATAGAGGGATTCCGTCAATGCTTCGTATGAAAGTTAAAAAACGAATCCCAGCAGCAAATTTGAAGACATTGTCACCCCCGTCCATTCCTTCTTTGCTAGGATGGCTTAGAGCGGAGTTCAACGAAGAGGATCTAGATGCGAAAATCGGTCTGGTAAGCTTAGACTTAGATTCGGACTCTGATACGAGTTCTAGTGAATCCGACGACGACATCGACAAAGCTCCAGTTGTGAAGAAGAAGAAAAAGCCTGCTAAGAAGGTCGCGTTTGAGAAAACTGTTCCGGCGGCTCCTATTGTGGAACCTAGTGTTTGAAAGTCCGGTTCGGTCCGGTTTTTTGATGCCCAGGGGCGTTAACCGTAACCGTAACCGGTCTGCATTTTCCCCAGAAGTCAAAAGACCAGACCGGACCGCAAAAAGACCGCAGACCGCGGTTTTTTGCGGTCTATAGACCGGTTTCGGTCTGCATCGGTTTTAACTGGTTTATGACCGGTCTTTAGGCCAATATTTTAAAATTATTAATCGGTAAATTTATTAACATTTTTAATAGCTTCAAAACGAGCCCAAGAACGTTAAATTCTGTTAGGAATTGGTCCTTCTATAAAATAAGTCTGGTACATCTATTATTCCCCAAAGTAATTTACATTTTAATTCATATCTCTCTCGTTTTTTTACCAAATCGTACGTTCTTGGGTGCATTTTAAAGGGTATTCAAGGGGCTACAAAAGACCGGTCCAAACCGGTCAAAACCGGTTCACGTTAACCGGTCTTTTTGCGGTCTTTACATTTCAAAAATAAAAGACCGTAACCGCAGGTCCGGTCTTTTGCGGTCTTGGTCCGGTCTGGTTACGGTCTTTTTCCAGTCACGAGACCGGACATCCAAACACTAGTTTCAGCTGACACTGACATCACCAAGCCTGCCGTCGCTGTAGGCGACGAAGTATCAGCAGTCACTTGGTACCAATGTGCTTGTGCTGAAGCTTCAGTCGATAAGGCCGCCGCCTCGTCTGCCAAAGCTGACGTCAATCGCCTCGTTGGTGGCGCAGCAATGAGAGCCGTTCTCACCAAGGCAACCCGCATGTGGGACAACGGAAGCGTACGTCCCCACTTTCGTCCCATCTTCGACACTGACCGCTGCCTTTTACAGACACTCATCTACACCTTCGTGGCCCCAAGGCCGGCAACACTATTCAACAGAATAAAGTCAAAACAGTAGTTCAAGAGTGGGAAAAGTACGCCAATGTTAAGTTCACTTTCATCGCCACTGGCAAGGCTACCATTCGCATTACCTTTGACCCCACCTCGGGTTCTTGGTCCTACGTTGGGAATGAGATTGCTCTCATCAAACCTAATGAAGCCACGATGAACTTGGGCTGGATTGGCAGCAGCTCTACTACCATCACTGCAGACGAGAAAGGCGTCATTTTGCATGAATTCGGCCACACCCTTGGCCTCATGCACGAGCACCAGTCTCCTGTCCGTGGTGGTATGCTCACCTTGAAAGAATCCGGTATGCTATTCATTTGATAAGACTTGTCTTCCCCACTGACGTGACATATCTCTAGCTGTTATCGAATTCTACAAGAAGACTCAAGGTTGGACTGAGCAAGAGGTTCATGAGCAGATTTTGAATGTGTACAACGTTCGTGACGTTAGCAACTATTCCGCACTTGATGTCAAGTCCATCATGATGTACGTTGACAACCCATTTGAGGCAATTGTTTACTGATCGCATGTGTAGGTACTTCATGCCGGCT